GAATTTTTTTGTGTAGCTCTGTAAAATGTTTTTATTGTAATTTATTATAATATATATGTGTGTCTGTGTGTGCGTGTGTGTGAAAATATATAGAAAATAGGAAATAAATCGTTTGATAAATAATACGAAGTTCTTTAGTACTTTTGTTTTTATTTTTAAAACACAGTGCTCGATACAAAAGTAATTATTAGAATTCAATTGAATTAAAGTGCCAAGTTCTGTTTCATCTCCAAGTTTGAAGATGTAACAGAACTTGGCATTTTAATTCAATTTAATTCTAAAAATTAAATTGAAGTTTTCAGCTCTTGTTTTTCAAAACATGAGAAATCTTATGTAGCGGAGGGATCGTGTTTTTAAATAAACAATATATATATATATATATATATATATATATATATATATATATATATATATATATATATGTAATATATCTGTTGTATATACTCCAGGTGAATCATAGTAAATTCCAAAAGGGCAGATAAGGATTAGCATTGTTATACCGATCTGAAATAGACCATACCCACATGAGGTAATCTTGGATTATTGGTATATATATATATATATATATATATATATATATATATATATATATATATATATGCATGTATGTATAGGTGGATGGTCCTGCACGAAGCCTTCACCACTATAATAGAATCTCATGTGCCGGTGTCGGGCTGTCAGTTTCCTGGGAACTGATCTGCTTGACCCTCATACGTCGAACCCGACGGGAGAATCGATTTTTTTATATATATATAGGTAAAATGAGAACAAATGAATTATAATTCCATTGTACATAACATTTAATTTAAAAGAGGGTTCAATGCATAGTAGAGCTAAATATTATCTATTTTAGTATATTAAAACACGTTGAAAATGGAACAATTGTAAACAGGATTTAATATTCAAAATATATATATATATATATATATATATATATATATATATATATATATATTGGTTCGTTACATTTACTTGCGCACTTAGGAAAGATATGAATCCAGCTATGGATTAAATAGTAGGATATATGCCAGTGATTCTAAAAAAAAAAACTCTTAATGCAATATTAACTCGCAAAACTATTAATTTTTTTTACAAACTAAAATACATTTCGGCTTTAAATAATCTACAAAATGTTACTAAAGCGTAAAAAACACTATCAATGTCAGAGGGGAGAACAATTGTCTTTCTTCTTGACGCGTTCAGAACCCCTTTTTTCTACTGTTGAAACTTGACTAATGCATGGAATAATAATGCAACACAAAATGTACTTAGAACAAAATGTATTGAAACAAGAAAGTGTACACAATATTTACATATAGTCATTTGTATATTCCTGGTAAGACCGTTCCTGGAGAATGTGTTGACTGAGTCGCAGTCGGGCAGAGTATCTGGTTGAATCTCTTGATTCCTGTATTTATCTATCCACCCACGAGGATAAAATGTGGCACAAGGCCGGTTTAAAGTGGGTATCTCCGAGCCCGTAGGCTCGGCCAAAAATATGGCCTTTCTGAACCAGCCTAGACGGGTTCAAGGCCTGTCTACCACCCCGGACGAAACCCTGCCTCTCGGCAAAGCCTCGTCCGGGTCCCTCACTGCAAAATGCAGAGAGTTCGACTGAGAGTGAATCTCTTGATTCCTCTCCTCTCTTCCCGGTACCAACCATATTTATATGGTCGGCATTCCACTATGCAAATTAGGTGGATCCTACCACAATATCTACCAAACGTCTATGGATACGTTACAGCTACTGGACGTATAAATGTGCATTTCTTCTATCTTTGCGTTTTAACAATCCTAAAATGAATAATACCTTTCATCGGCACATTACCCTCCTCCCAGGGGGTTCAACTTTTGGTGTCGTTTGTTAAACTCTATCCTTGTCAATGTATTTCATTTTTTGATAGAACATTTCCGTATGTTAGAACCCTTCAAGCCTTTTCTTAACTGTATTATGATTAGTGGTTAAGATGATATATTTGCTATCACAGTTGCTTCCCATATGCAATGCGATTGGTCCTGACCTGACATCTCGTCTACAGTTACAATCTCACAGATGTGATGTGGCTTCTCTGTGACTTTCCTACAAATATTTTTATGTCAACTGCTTTGACGAGCTACTTTCACTGGTACCCCTACTGCATGAATTTAAACGTGCTACTAGGTTGGCATTTCGGTCCCACTCTTTCACTGTCGAAACAGTTAAATGTAACAGCCTCTTCTACCCCAACAGATTCTTCTCTCGCACTTCCCGACGGTGGAATTCCCTTCCTTCCACTTGACTCCCTGATAGCTATAATCTTCAAATATGCAAATGTAATGTCAATCGATATTTTTCTTATGCTTTCTTTTCCCTTTCCGTCTCTACAGCCATTCCTCAAACATCCATCTTTACTCTTGCTCTCAATCCTCTGTAACCCCTTGCGTGCTAGTGGCACTCCCGCCTTGCTTGGGGTGAATTGCTTAAAAATATCCGAAAATTAATTATGACTCTGCCTAGTAGCTAAATCTTCCTCAGTCGTTTAGACATAATTTTGTTTCTATATTATTAATTAATTATCATGGTTGTAATTTTCCTGATGGATATAATATTCTTAATATTAATTTTAGAAGTTTTGATGACAGGTGCTACCACATGAATAAATACACCATATATATATATATATATATATATATATATATATATATATATACACGCGTGTGTGTGTGCGTATGTGTTTGTGTGTGTGTATGTGTGTGTAGGCTTCCCTTTATCTTGCAAAAATAAGGTTCCGTCTTGTTTGATCAAAATGCAATCATTTCGTGATGAGGTTGGAGTGGCCTCTCTAGACCGCAGGCCCGTGAGATACGATATGAAGTTAGTGCACTGCAAAACGACATGTCACCCCACACCAGTTGCGTCGGACAATCTACCTACAAGAAACAAAGAAATACATGTCATTACATTTAGGGATTGCTTGGCTTTCAGGAGTTGCCGGAAATTGTTGACAGACAAACAACTTTGGTGCCCCAGTTAGATTTATTTTTCTGTCTGCTATTTACTTCCATAGCTTTTTGCGTGTTTGGATATGACCGTAAGGCCGTGAGGGTTTAATATCAAAGTTTTTCTTCCCCTAGATGGACTGTCTTCTTGGCCTGTCGAGCTCCATCTACCCGAAGCAGCTGGTCACGAAGCGCCAGTTTTCCGCCTTCGCCCATTCTCCGCCTTGGAGCTGGACATAGAGGCTATTTGAGACGGAAGCATTTTATAGACAGTGATAGATTGTCCCTACTATCACCCCTACTATGACACACGTTTGGAACATATATAAAATGTCCGCATATATAATGTACTCATATATAATGTTCGCATATAAACATTATATATATATATTAAGTGTTTTAGAAGCTCACAAATCTTGTACTTTTTTTAATGTGTGAAAGGTTGGGTTAAATAAAAAGAGTAAAAAGTAAGACAAATTACGAAATAGTCGTGCATAAATAAACAAACACAGAAATGGAGTTTCATTAATTTTGAAAAAAAGATGGCATATCCCAAAAACTGAAACTGTAAATCGGGATTTAAGCGTTAAATATTAGAACGTATGAAGGCATTATTTATAAGATACGATAATATAGTGTATACTATCTTTTTGACAGTACTAGCACTTAAAATATGGTTTGATAGAAAATGAACGAGAGTAGAAAATTCAAAGTTGACAAATATAACTTTAGGTAAGCAAAAACAGAAATTAAAAATAAGCCAAAACGAGAATTCAAGTTACTTGTACAAAAAATGAATACAAACTAAGACAGAAAAAAACACGCCAAGAGTGGAAAAAGTTGAAATAATAATAAAAGATGCATATATAAATATAAATAAATATAATAATCTACAATATATATAAAATAAACGAAATAAAATAAATAATATTTACGAATTATAAATTATTATATTATTTTTAAGCAATATTTACATTTTTTTTCTGTTAAGCTTAAAATCCGTTATTTTTTTCGATTTTCGAAAAAACTCGTCATCTGAACTTCGGTTCAGAATGTCATATATCAAATATATATTCCAAAATAAATAACTATATATCAAATATATCCAGGGTCTCATATGCCAAGCTTAATTACCAGGTAGACTTATCCAGAATCCACAAAAAAAATAAAAAAGAAAATAAAAAAAAGAAAATAAAAAAAAAAGATGTATACACGTTCAGGAAACGAAAAAACTTGTACAGATATTTTAATACTAAATTTATTCAGACATTACAAGATTAATACAAGTTACCTCTGGAATCTACAAATGGTGACATTTCGCTTCCAGACATTTTATTAATATGATGAACTACTGCTTGGGCAAGTTTGGCCAAACTGTCCAATGGCATTGCTGCATATACATTTTCAGTTTCATGGCTGAAGGCCGCCAATGTAGTGGGTTTTCTGTGATACACAACATCCTATTGGGTCCGTAACAGGTAAAAGACAGTAGTTATTAAATCAGGAGAATATGGTTGGAATTCGATTGGACCTCTTCATCCTCGCCAGTGTCTTACAATTTCTTAATCGGTTAAGCTAGCACATCTTGCTGGGAGAGGAGAGTTGCGCCGTCTTTTTGAAGGAAAAATGTATTATTTCCATAAATATCATGTATGGAAGTGTTATCATCGCAATTTGATAAAACTACAAAATACAAGTTTTTCCTTTTCTAAAGTACGTATACATTTTTGGCAGACTTTATATTTACTCAGACGCTCTAGGCATTCTCTATACACCCAAGTCAAAGACCAAGATCCATTCAATCTAGAGCATTAATGAATGATCTTGTTTTAAGGGCGTATAGAGGGGTATTAAAAAGTGCGTATAATCTGGATTTTTACGAGAGATAAAAGTTCGAAAAGTTAATATCGTTGTGTTTGGGGAAGAATCCTATCAGGACTATTTTCTTCTCAGGACTTTTTTCCTCTCAGGAGTAATTTCCTCTCAGGACAATTTTCTTCTCATGACTATTTTCTTCTCAGGTCTATTTCCTCTCGGGTCTATTTCCTCTCAGGACTATTTCCTCTCAGGACTATTTCCTCTCAGGACTATTTCCTCTCAGGACTATTTTCTTCTCAGGACTATTTTCTTCTCAGGTCTATTTCCTCTCAGGTCTATTTCCGCTCAGGTCTATTTCCGTTCATGACTATATTCTTCTCAGGACTATTTTCTTCTCACGTCTATTTCCTCTCAGGACAATTTTCTTTTCAGAACTATTTTCTTAGGACTATTTCCTCTCATAGACTATTTTCTTCTCAGGACTATTTTCTTCTCAGGAATATTTTCTTTTCAGGTCTATGTTCTCTCAGGACAATTTTCTTCTCAGGACTATTTTCTTAGGACTATTTCCTCTCAGGACAATTTTCTTCTCAGGACCATTCCTAATCAGGTCAATTTTCTTCTCAGGACTATTTTCTTCTCAGGACTATTTCCTCTCAGGTCAATTTCCGCTCAGGAGTATTTCCTCTCAGGACAATTTTCTTCTCAGAACTTTTTTCTTCTCGGGTCTATTTCCTCTCAGGACTATTTCCTCTCAGGACAATTTTCTTCTCAGAACTTTTTTCTTCTCGGGTCTATTTCCTCTCAGGACTATTTTCTCTCAGGACAATTTTCTTCTCAGAACTATTTTCTTCTCAGGTCTATTTCCTCTCAGGTCTATTTCCGCTCAGGTCTATTTCCGCTCAGGTCTATTTCCGTTCATGACTATTTTCTTCTCAGGACTATTTTCTTCTCACGTCTATTTCCTCTCAGGACAATTTTCTTTTCAGAACTATTTTCTTAGGACTATTTCCTCTCATAGACTATTTTCTTCTCAGGACTATTTTCTTCTCAGGAATATTTTCTTTTCAGGTCTATGTTCTTTCAGGACAATTTTTTTCTCAGGACTATTTTGTTAGGTCTATTTCCTCTCAGGACTATTTTCTTCTAAGGACCATTCCCAATCAGGTCAATTTTCTTCTCAGGACTATTTCCTCTCAGGATTATTTTCTTCTCAAGACTGTTTTCATCTCTGGATTATTTTCGTCTCAGAACTATTTTTGGCTCAGGAATATTTTTTCCACAAAGTAACAACTCTGTGGTACAATGTATTTTTGAAGATATTCCAAAATACAAGAATCTTGAAGTGAAAATCTATCACATGATGACCTCAATAATTGCAGCTGTAGCCTTCCGCTTGATCGGAAAAAATTCCAATAGATTCCTTAAATCGATCCCTGCTAGCACATTCCCAAGAGAAAGACAAACAATACTCTCCCAAGTACAGCTCATATATTACGAAAGGATTTTTTCTATTTAAAATGTATATTCTCTTAGATGGTTGATTTTTTTTTTCATTTGTTTTGCAAACTGTTGCATCGGGATAAATTGTCGTTGCCGACATTGGGTTTTAACACAGATCACCAGTGAGCAAATACAGGTGATTCCATTTCTAATAAGTAGACCACGTGATTATAAAAGAAAGATATATATATATATGGGAATTATCGTGGCGTTTAAGTCATCGCGATTCTCGATACTCTCCTGTATACTATTTCTTTATAATAATCACCCTGAGGATTACTATTCTGTGGTTACTGTTTGAACAAGTATTACTAGAGCGAACGCGTTACTACTAGTATATGCAATTTCAAAGTCTCGAACATTTCGAACATGATAATGAGCATTCTTTGACATCACAAAAGTGACAACGCCACGGCGTCTGACATCACAAATTTTATTATTATTATTATTATTATTATTATCATCATCATTCGATTTCTGCTATGGACACACTACCTACCAAGTCTGCGGAAAGACCTAAGGCAGGTCGTGGTGTGTTGTTATGGCCACATTTCATGTTAATTTTTTTTTTTATTATTATTATTATTATTATTATTATTATTGTTGTTATTATTATTATTATTATATCGTTGCCGACACTGGAGTTTGAACACAGATCACCAGTAAGCAAATACAGGTGATTCCATTTCTAATAAGTAAGTGATTGTAAAAGATATATATATATATATATATATATATATATATATATATATATATATATGGGAATTAGCGTAGCGTCTAATTGATCATCATTCTCTATACTATCCTCTATAATATTTTTGTATACTGACGGATTACTATTCGGCGGTTACTATTGGAATAATCTTACTAGTGCGATTATTAGTCGAAGGAGTTACTACTAGTATATGCGATTCCAAAGTATCGACTACACCGAACATTACGATCGTGATAACGAGCATTAGTTGAGAACACGAAAGTGACAACGTGTAAGTGCCTGGCATCACAGAACAAAGAATATTCGTGCGAAAATTTCATGATAGCATTTCTGATCACTATTCTCTAACTGGTACCAGGTTAGTATATAAATATACAACGAAAATTAATGTAAAGAATAATAAAAATAACGATAATGATAATAATAATAATGTCGCAAAGTTTAGAAAAAATGAAAGCAAGATGAAGCCTATAAGTATCTAGGAATTAGCGATGGAGATGGAATACAGCTATATACACAAATAAAGATGAAGGTACAGACGCGTGCGTCTGGAAATGAATACCGAGCTGCATTTAAAAAAAAAACCCAAAATATCAGCCATAAAGACCTTGGCTGTCCCTGTGGTGAAATGCAGTTTCAACATTCTTAACTAGACCGTAGCTGAGATTAAGCGAATAGATGCCAAAACAAGAAAGCTTCTCGCCTGCCACCGCATGCATCATCCCATGGATGATGTTGATCGTCTGTATGTGGCCAGATCCGAAAGAGGCAGAAGATTAGTTCAACTAGAACCGTCATACAAAACTACAACAATTCGGTTTCAAAGATAGTTGGAAACTACAGAAGACTGGATGATGATATGTATCAGTATCTAGCCACCTCCCCACGAGGGTTGCATGTGGCACAAGGCCGAGTTTATCGTGGGTTTCCCGAGCCCGTAGGCTCAGCCAAAAAATGCCCGTATAACCCGTATAAACGAGATCGGGTTGGTCATTTTCCCCGAACGAGATTCTGCCCTTCGGCGGAACCTCGTCCGGGTTCCTTTCTGCTCAGAGGCAGAAAGTTCGACCGTCAAGTCGATGATGATATGTATCAAAAACATGAAAGTAGTAAGCGTTTCTTTCCGTAATAAAGGAAGCCAACAAGTTCAAAATGGAGTTTCAAATGGGTATACACATAGAAGTAAACCACAATACACCGGTTGAAGCTGCTAAATACTTAAAAAAGAAAGGAAAGACAAATGTAACGGACCAGATACAGAAACGATGGCAAGATAAACCGCTTCACGGTCAATACTCTACCCGTACCAAACAAGTTGATGTAGACAAACCCCCTACCCATCAGTGGCTACGTAGTGCAGTGTTAAAAGATGATACCGAAGGTTTTATCCTTGCTACACATGACCAATGCTTGTTAACTAGAAATTATCAAGCACACATATTAAAATATTGTGTTAGTCCAAAATGCAGATTTTGGGATAAATATCCAGAAACAATTGACCCTGTTGAACAGTATTGGAACCCACTCAATATAAAAACCCGGCATGGCAGAGTAGGCCAATATCTGCACAGGTAAAACATCTACGGAAAGGAAATTGAAATTAACTGACATGAACACCACCCAGACCCGTTTACGGAGATAGGACCTTTAATAATTTTATGGGACTACACAATACACACAACAATCAAAGCTAATCGCCCAGATATCGAGATTATAGACCACAAAAAAATGCTTCCTTATTTTCATGGCACTCTTTGCAGACTGCAATGCATCTTTGATGATGTTTAAATCTATCAATCTATCAAAATGCAAGGAACTTGATTTCGAAATCTCAAAAATGTGGTACATGAGAACATCAACAATCCCTGTTGTAGTCGGAGCCTTTGGATTGATTGAAAAATATACCAATATACACATTGAAGAAATTCCGGGTAGCCAATGCCTTAAAGAAATACAAAATATTTTCCTCACAAGTACAGCCCACACCTTACGAAGGGCTTTATTTATGCAAAATATGTTGTTGTTGTTTTTTTTAATGGTCAGTGGAAAATGTCATGAAATGTGTACACACCAAAAATCAAAGGGAATAATAATAATAATAATAATAATAATAATAATAATAATAATGACAACAATAATAATACTAATATCAAAAAACCCTTTAAAAACGCCATCTTATCGACATAATCATACAGTCTGTTAAAAACATTTTAACGGAAAAAAATACTTAACAAATATAACGAAATAGAAATTACAAGGTTGTGGCATTTAAACACAACCTTTATCCCAGTAGTTGTATGAGGACTAGGAATGATTAAGACGAATACCGATAGAGGCATTATCTTTATCTGAAATACAAAAGATTATGATAATGTGTACGGCTCGCATACTAAAAAAATATCTCAATAACTTCCTACCAAAAGTCTTCAACTCTCTTAGATCTGGGGTTAAACATTTGGGAAATGAATTGACGAAATATCAAATGAAAGAAAGAAGAAGGAATAATTGCAATAAAGGCGTGGAAACTAAAATCCTAACGATGTGACAGACAGAAGTATCCCTCCCACTGATGGAGCTATGCGTGTGATCAAGAAACTCACCGACAAACATTTCTATAAAATTTCAGGTGATCCTTTCCTCCATGAAAACTATACAATAGTGTTTACCAGTACGACTTGCATGTTACAAAAGGTATTGTTGTTGTCATTTTGCAATCGTATAGTTAAGAGAGAGAAAAAATGTTTTCATATTTCCAACCTTGTATTGCCACAATTTAATTGTAATATCCCAGCAAGTGATTGTCGGAAAGTGTGGAAGAAGAAGAAGTTGAAGCAGTAAAAAGAAGAAATTAATAATAATAATAATAATAATAATAATAATAATAATAATAATAATAATGGGGGACTGTACATACCATCGGCAAAAACCACTGCATCTTTACGAAAAATTGTCTCGAAAGTTCACGATAACTCTGCTACAGTGCTGATTTTATTTATAAACACCTCAGGGGAATTGGTAATTAAGCATTTCAAATTAATCTCTGGCAAGATGATACACAAATAATAATAATAATAATGATAATGCTTTCTCATTGAAATGAAGTTTGTAATGGATCTTTGAAAAATACTATCAAAATACAAGCTTGAATTGGGAATCTAAGGACATCATTAATTCTAGTTGTAGTTGGAGTTCTTGGATTGATTGGAAACAGTTTCAATAGACTCATTGAAGGGCATTCTTGGTAACTCATGCTTTAAAGAAATACAAACATTTTTACTCCCAACTACAGAGCAAGCATTAAGAAGAGCTTTACCTATGTAAAATGTGATTGTTTGTTTTTAACTAAAATGATCAGAAGAAAATGTCATGAAGGAATTTCGGAACTAAGGTCTCTGGTTGGAACACGTATGGAAATGTGTATACAACAGAAATCCAAAAAATACTACTAATGCTACTGCTGCTACTACTACTAGTATTATTACTGCTATTACTATTACTACTACAACTACTAATAATAATGCCGAACTGTACATCTCCACAAAACTCTCTCCATCTAAGCGAAAAGCCCTAAATGCGCAGAGATAACTCTCCAAGAGTACCAATTTTAATCATAGACTTAGATCATAGGAATTGGTAATTAAGCACTTCAAATTACACTCTGGAAAGATGATACCTACACAACAACAACAACAACAACAACAATAATAATAATAATAAAGTGCCTCCTCATTGACATGGCAGTCCCTGCAGACTGCAATGTATCTTTGAAAAGCTGTCAAAATACA